GCACAAGGAGATGTGTGGCCAAGAATGTTTCCAGTGGCTTGATTTGTAATAACAAAAACCCTGAAGACACCTTAAAGGTCCAACAATGGAAATGGATTGACGGCAGAGGGTATATTCACACAAGGGAAATCCCAACCACAGCTGAAGGCTGAGCAAAGTGCAGGAGGATACAATTGCTATCATATCATTTATGCAACATTTTCAACTATAAAACAATTGTCTGTGATGTTACTTTCAAAAATCTTCCTTTTGAAGAATTCATATAAACATGGTAAAGGCTCTGAGAAGTCCTGCAGTCAAGAAACTGTTAATTTGACAGGTGTGAGCATTTCCCGAAATTAGCTAAGTGCAACATTCCTTCTCAGTTATTTACAGACACTCAAGGTTCCTCAGAAACACTTTGGGAGATGCTGGGCCAACAGAGCTCTTCCATCTTGTGTTTCTGAAAGATGAGGGACTCTACTTAACAAGTAACTACAGTACTCTGAGAATCTGATCCATGCAAGCCAGGGAGATGGAGAAGACTGGGCGAAACTCATGGCCAGTTTTCACAAGCAGGACCAGCTGTCACAGCTAAAGTATGTCTCAAGGATGGTGAAAATTCACCACAAGTCACGCTTAGGACACTCTCAGCATGACACATTTTCTCTTTGGTCTTTCTCATCCCTCCTCATACACCCCCAAGCTGTCTTGCCTTCTGTATGCCCCATTTCAGTCCAGGACACTTCCTACCTCCAAGCCAGCAGAGTCCCAGAGACTCCTTTCAGTCTAACTCCTCATCTGGACGGTTCCTGCACCTGGCTCTCCCTGTCCTCACATGAGCCTCCGTCCTCCACCTCATTCCCTGCCTGCCTGGAGCAACCTGCCTCCTGGAGCCACTCCCAGGACATCCTCTAAGCCACAGCACCTCTTCTTAAGACACACACTGCCACAGCACTTCACTGAGCACTCTCACCCGAAGTCCCTTTGCACAACCTGACCACGGCTTCCACTGCCACCCTGGGCTCCCTCCTCACCCAGTAAACTCAAGATTCTAAGTCACCAACGTCCATTCCCAGGGTAAGCCCTGGGGCTCTGAACTCCACGCACAGCTAGGACTGTCCCCTCCCCCTAGTGCCTGCCAATCCCTGCTCACAGAGTGGCTCCTTTCCACCAGCACCCCACCTGCCTTTCCAGTGCTCTCTCCCAGCTCCTTACAGGTAACTTCTGTACCTCTGCAAAAGAGACTTGAACAGAGGAGAGTGAACAGCTATGTCTCCAACTGGGCAGGAGATTGGTAAGTATAGAAAGCAAGAAGAGGCAAGAGTGGCCCAGGGACAAACTTCATGATTTGTTCCTGGCACTCTTGGAGATGGGGCGGCTTTCAGTATTCTAAGTGTTTTTGACATCTAAAATAAGACAAGTCCAGATTTCAAGATTTGTCTTTTGTCCTCACAGGTACAATATAGTGTTATAACATTTTAAAGGTCATAAAATTTAAGATTTTTCTATTATTTTCCCAAAGTATTATTTCCCCTTCTCTCCTCTCAATACCACTAATCCATCACATACAGTGACAATGAGCCTTGGCCCTCAAGGTGAGACTCTCCTGGGATCAGGTAGGCTAGTGAGAATCAGAAGGCGGGGGAGCTTAATCATAACAATAGAAATTACTGCATTCGTATTGAATTTTATATGTTTTGCAATGCATTTTCCTATGTTTTAATTTTTTGACACTCACATTAATCATGAAGTTGATGGGCCACGAATTATTTCCATTTTGCAGAGATGAAAAGTGTTTTATGTCTTATACCAGATCGGGGTAACTACTTTGAAGATAACAAAATACAATACATTAACTCTTGTTATTCCCTTACTATTTTGTTATGAAATTTTATTTCATTTTTTTGTAAAATAAAAAATAAAGGTGAGACCAGAGAGGTTAAATGCTTGTTTCTAGACATATTGATTAAATGTGATGCCATTTGTTGCTTCTTGATATTATTTCTTCTACAACTGGGACTCTAATCAGAAAGTCTTTGTCTGTACCTACAGTTTAAAGAGTTTAGCTATTTTATCCTCCAGCATATTAAGTGTTCATTGTTTGACATTTAGATCTTCGATCCATTTTGATTTTGGTATAGTGAATGGTGAAGGATAGGGGTTTAGCTTCACTCTCCTGCATGTGGATACCCCATCTTCCCACACCATTTATTAAAGGTGCTACCTTCCCTCTGGTGTATGGTTTTGTACCCTCTGTCAAAGATCAAACGGCTGAACTGCCTGGGGTGGTCTCCACACATCCTCCATTCTGTCCTGAAACTCCATTCAAACCAGCTATTCCCCATGTAGATGTCTTCCTGAAAGACTTAGCCACCATATTACAGCAGTGCACGGACACCAATGCTTACTGCAGCACAATTCATACTAGTTATATCTTGGAATCAGTGTATATGCCCAACAACGTATGACTGGATTGAGAAAATGTGGTATTTATACACAGTAGAGTACCACTTTGCCTAAAAAAGGAGAAACGAGTCATTTGTAAGAAAACGGATAGCCCTTGAGATTATAATGTTAACTGAAATAAATCAGACGAAAAGCTTAAATATCAACTGGTTTATTTTATAAGAGAATCCCAAGTTATAAATAATGAGCAAAATAAAAGATAGATATTAGGAAGTAGGGAAATAGATCTTTAACAAATTGGAAAGGAATCAAAACGTGGAGGGAAAGGGGAGGGAAAAGAGGGAAAGAAAAAGAGGGAAGGAAAAGAAAAAAGGACTGAGATGTGTTACGTACACGCACCCACTCCCCATGAGGAATGTAATCATTATGCACTGCACACGTGAACTGTAGCCCAACGTTTACAAGTCCTGTGCTGTGAGGGAAGAGGAGAGGGGAAGGAAGAGGAAGATGGAAACGGAGACAGAGAGAGGCAGCTTTCTGCCTAAAGCCTGTAGGAGCACACTGCACAATTCCTAGGCCATGCACTGACCCAGAAGGCGGCCAAGATTCCCAAGGACCCTCCCTACCTCCGCCAGGTCTTACCTGGAGGGGCCCTGGCTGCTCGTCACAGCCTCCCCTGGTCACATCTCACAGTCTTCTTCCCACCCCGGGCAGAAGGTGGGAGCAAATTATAACAAAATTATAATAAAACTGCCTTTTGCTTTTCCTCCTGGATGAAGCCTTCCCTGACCCTTATCCTCATCGCAATATCAGTGTTTCCCTAAAAAACACAATTCCAACCAATGCTGGCACTCTCAGGATCTCCCCAGATACTGATACCTGCTCTAGGTCCCATCTTGAGTGTCCCCTTAAGGCTCCTGTGTTATAGGTTTGGTGCCCAGGGTGGTACAGTTAGGAGTCTGCGGAAACTTTAAGGGGTTAGGCCTAGTGGGGTCATTAGGTCACTGAAGGAGTGCCACAAAGGGGACTGAGGGACCCCAGTTTGCTCCCCTTTACAGGTCCCCTTTTATAGAAAAAAAAACAATATATAGAGTTCAATACTAACTGTGGTATCAGGCACCCAATGAGCGTCTCGGAAAGTGTCCCCCACAAGGATAAGGGGGATTAGTGCAGAGCTAAAACACTTAAGTAGCTTCTTAAACCCTTAGTGGCTATTACTGTGCACTCTAAAATGAACTCAAAATATCAAGAGTAAAGAGAGATGTGGCTGTCACAACCTGGGCCTCATTCACTCACTGATTTCTTCCATACCAGCCTCACCCCATCCACTATTCAAATTTTGCTTGGAAAATGACTGTTCATCATGTGATTATGTGTTATGGCTTCCATGCAGATGTCCCCCCAAAGCCTTATGTGCTCATAGGTGGGGCTTTTCAGAGCTGGCTCTGTCTAGGGCTTGCGATACTGAGATTAAGAGTGTGTGGTACTAAATTAGTCCACTGATGGAAATTAGCATAATTCTGGGCATGGATAATGGAAGCCCCACCCTGAGTGTAAGTGTCACCAGCAACAGGCTTATACCTGGATGTAATATAGAGGGAGAGAGGAAAGGTACACTTGCTGCTGCTGCTGCTACTGTTGCTGTCTCCTGCCTGCTTTGCCATGAACTATGTCTCCTCTGTGATGTCCCTCTGCCAGGCTACACTGCCTTGGAGCCAGCCAACTATGGACTGAAATCTCTACAAACTGTGTACTGGGGGAAAAAAAAAAAAAGAAGCCTTTCCTCCTTTAACTTTGGGTATCTTTTTTTTTTTTTTTTGTCTCAGCAATGAGAAAAGCAACTAAGACATCATATTTTAAGGGCTTTTAGAGTACTTTACAAATAAATAATTGATAGAATAAGTATTAAGTCACCAAAAGCTAAGTGTCTAAAGTCACCCTTAGTTTAATATGTATTTCTATCCTCCATACAACCTTGGAAGAAAAATATAAAATGCAAACATTCAAATACTAAACAAGAGCTTTGTAATGTGCCTCAGAAAAATATTTTTTAAAAAACTTGGCATCAAATGAAATTCGAGTATCAGCCACAATCCTTTTTCTTCTGCCCCAAATTATTAAAATAATTCAAGTCTCTCTCAGTATCATCTATGTTCTCTTCATTAACTTAGAAGGTTACCTCATCTCATCTCCCTGGCTGCCCTCAAATACATCTATATTACTCTGTCGGTAAAGTTTGGTATGAAGGGAAAATTCCAACTTCAAATATTGAATCTGAGCTTCACAAATACAGTAGTAATGAAAAAGTCAGACAGAAAACCTTTATAATAATGGACTCAGACAAAAATAAAGCCCGGAAATCAGCTGGAATAACAAAGTCTAAATTGTTTATGGAATCAGTTACGCTCTTGGAGCTGGGAGGCTGAGTGGCTGTTAATCTGGGCTGTCGTGTGGGGATGCGGTCTGGTTTTTGAAAGCTCATGCCATGACTATCTCTAGGACTATGACAGACTCAGATTCCCTTCCTCCCCAGCTACCACCTCCCATTAGCACTGTCATCAACCTCCCACTTTGGTTTTTGTTCTGCATCTGGTAATGGGCCTCTGCCTTACTGAGTGGTGGTGTCCTTCGGGGTTCCAGGATGGTCCTCCCAGGTTGACTTCAGGGCCAGTCAGGTCAGCTGAGAGATGGGAAAATACACATATTTTGGGAGTGTGTTTTTTTACTATCATATTCTGCATATAATTACCCTGACAAATTAACAATTTTCATTCATTTACTCAAAACGTTGGCTTAGAATAGCACTATGCAGTAGAAATAGGTTGCAAGCTAGATATTTAATTTTAAATTTTCAACCGGCCATATTAAATGAGTTCTGGTGTTCTACTGAGAAGGAGGGAAAATATATGATTATGCCTGTACATTTCAAAATAGCTAGAAGGGAGGCTACTGAATGTACTGACCACAAAGAAATGACAAAAGTTTAAGATGGTTTTGCTAATTACCCTGATTTTTTTTTTTTAATTTGGTACCAGGAATCAAACTCAGGTCCTTGTGCTTGTGAAGTAGGCACCAGAACCACTGAGCTAAATCCCGGCCCCTAATTGCCATGATTTAAATCATTACTCAATGTATGCACAAACCAAAACATCAGATATATCCCAGAAATATGTACAACTATTATCCCAATGAAAAAATTCAACATAATTTTTAAGATTTAAAGTAAAAAGCAAGTAAAATTAACCTTTGAAAGACTTATTTAACTCAATATATTCAGCATACAGTATTATTATTATCCTTTTAATCCATAATCGATATGTCTTTGAAATCTGAGGTATTGTATATATTACAGTGGATCTGCACAAAAATACTAAATTTGTATTAGAAATGTTTAATCTGTGTTTAAGTTTCATCAGATCTATTATTTTTTTTCTTTTTTTGTAGCAGGGATCGAACTCAGGACCTTACATTTGCAAGGCAGGTGGCAGAACTAAATCTGAGCTAACCCCCCGGCCCCACTAGATCTATTCTTGAAATAGTATGTTCACAAGCTTAAATTGTTCCACACATACAAAACATCCTCTAGAATAACTGAAAAGAGTGTGTTTTTAATTAAATTAATTAAAATTCCAAAGTGTAACCATTTAGTTCAGTCACACCAGCCATGTTTCAAGTGTCCAAAAGATGTGAGGGTGGAGGCTACAGTCTTCCACAGGACAGGTTTAGGATGTGAGTTGTCTTTACAGCACACCTAAGAGCTGAGATTTCAAACCCTTCCGATCTGAACTGAAATCCTGCCTGGCACATTTACTAGCTATCTGACCTTCACCCAGTCACATAACCTCATGGGTCTCCTGCTCCTTTTACTAAACGGAACTGACAATACCCACCTAACAGAGTTGTTAGGTGGAACCCTAGCTATAAGAGGACCCTGTCCATACTTAATAAATACCACCTCCCCTGCACCCAGGGTGTCCCCAGAGTTCACCTGTGGGAAGCTGAATTCCTCAGTGAGGCCTTGTTAAAAGGTGAGATCTAGTAGGACAGGTTTGGGTCATGGGGCAGAGCCCTCAGGAATGGATTAATTCCTTTATCATGAAAATACATGAGCTTTTTATATTAATTTCATTGGAACATTTTAGATTTATATAATGATAACATTTACCATGAGGAATTTATACCTGTACATGATGCATCTTGGTCCTTCTTTTCCCATTCCCCTCCCCACCCTTCAGGCCCTCTTTCCCACTTTATTTACAAAAACTTTGTTTCCGTTTTTTTCCTTCTATTCTTTTTTCTTTTCCTTTTTTCCTTCCCTCCGCCTCCCCCTCCCTCCCTAGTTCCCCTTCCCATTTGAACGTTTTCTTCCCATTTCATAATATCTACTATACAGTTTGGTCTTTTAGTTTCTCACACCAGAGACACAATGCCATATTTAAACATGGGTGTCCAATTTATTTCACTTAAGAGTATGGTCTCGAGGTGGATCCCTTTACCTAGAAATGTCTCAAGTTTATCCTTCTTTATCACAGACTAGTACTCCACTGTATAAAAACAAACCACATCTTTCTACATTCATCAGTTGATGAGCATTTGGGCTGCATCTATGATTTAGCTATTACAAACTGTGCTGCTATAAACACGGGTGTGCATACACTGCTGTGGTATGATGCTTTTCATTCTTTTGGGAAGATACCAAGGAGGGGAATAGTGCGGTCAAATGGGAATCTCTGGTTTTAGTTCTTTGAGGAATCTCCACACTGGTTTCCGCAGTGGTTGCACAGTCTACACTCCCACTGACAGTGGAGAAGGGTTCCTTTCTCCCCACAACACCACCATTTCTTTGTGGTTGATTGTTTTTGTAACAAGAATGAGATGGAATTTCAGTGTTTTTTTAATTTGCAGCTCTCAGAGGACCAGTGATGTTGAACATTTTTTCATATAAGAAATACATTAGTGTTGCCAGGGGTCTGGCCCCCTTTTCTGTCCTCCATGTGTACCTTCCTGCCTTTGTAGGAAGCAGCCTGAGACACTCACCAGATGCAACTGCTCAGTCTTGGATTTCTCAGCCTCCAGAACCAAGAGCCAAAACAAGTTCTTCTCTTAATAAATTACTCAGTGTCATGTTTGCTGCTCTAGTAACAGATAAGATACTACCTTCTTCCAAAAAGAAAGGGCAGTGGGTGAAGCTGTGAGTGTGAAGCAAAAGGTGCAGCAGAGACCCCAAGACATTGGAGAAGACCGGAACGTGGATCGTCTGAGGAAAGCTGCAAGGACAGAGCAAAACTGGCCTAAGAGAGAAGCCACGGGAGCTACAACCACCAGCAGTGCCACTGGGGGAGAGCCACTCAAGCCCTTTGGAATTCACATCTTGCCACAGACTTCCTCAGATGCTGGACATGGAACTATGGGACTTACTGTTTGCCCTGGTGGATTTTGGATTTGCTTTGTCAAGCTCCTTTCTATCCCCCTACTTGTACCTTTTAGAATGGAAACGTTTATCTTGTGCCACTGAATACTGAAAACATTTCGCTGTCTTATCATTCATACAGGGTTTTGCAACCTTAAATCTTAGGGGAGACTTTGGACTTGTATGTTTTAGCAATGCTGAAACTGCTAGGATTTTGACAGTTCTTAGAGATGGACTAAATGCCTTTGCACAAAAGGATGTACATGAGTCATTGGGGTGGGTGCCAGGGGTAAAGGTTATGGCTTGTATCTAGGCATCCCCTCAGGTATTCATAGGAGGGGCTTTTCAGAGGCAGCTGGATCTAGAGTGTGTAATGCTGGGATTAAGAGTATGTAATCATTAAATCAGTTCATTGATTGGTTTAGCATAGTTCTGGTTGTGGCTAATGGGAAGGCCCACCCTGGGTGTGGGTGGCACCACCCAAAGGAAGGGCAACCTAGAAAGGATAAAAAGAAGCTTATTTCTGCTACTGCCACCTCCCTGCTTTGCTGCCCTCTGCCTGTCCTACTCTACTATGGACTGTTGTTCCTCTGTGACACCCTCTGCCATGTGCCACCCTGTGTTGGAACCACCCAACTATGGACTGAAACCTCTGCAAATTGTGAGCTGAAATAAACTTTTCCTCCTTTAACTTTGGGTGCTGGGTGTTTTGTCACAGAAATGAGAAAAGTAACTAAGACAGTCTGTAGCCCAGATATCCATAATCTGAAATGCCCCCAAATCACTGATATGACACCACAAGTAGAACTTCCCATACTATCAAACTTTAATTTCATGCACAGAAAAATCTAAAATAGTGTGTACAATTACCTTCAGGCTGTGTGTGTATGTAACAAAAGGGAATTTTGTGTTTAGACTTGGCTCTCATCTCGAAGATATCTCATTATATTCCAAAATAAAAAAAAATTTCAAAATCTGAAACACATCTCATCCCAAACACTTTCAGAGAAGATACTCAATTTATAAAAGATTCAAACTCGTCGCCTAATCGCTGTCTCTTCTCCAAGGCCTAAGTGTGAATACCTTGAGACAGGAATTTTATGTCTCTGAGCCAGTTTAGTGCCAATTGAAAGGGGTGAGGGGCCAGGGTGTATGGAACTGAATTGAATTCAAAGCGTCCAAGCTTTGTGTGTGAAACCTTCAAGAAGCAAGAAGTCAGAGACCTGCATTCATTGTTTTCCATAGAGTTTTCTAGAGTCTACTTTTTGTAGCATTTCATCTTTCCAGGAACCAGGACAACAACATGTCACTAGAGTCCAAAAGGGAGGCAAGGATCAAGAATGGGGGTGTCAGTGGGAAAGAAGTGGGGATTTCCACTTACTGGGTGCTCAGTCCCCACGTACAATGACACCAAGCCATAGCCAAGTTCTCCACTGTGCGTGCTGTTGTCCCTGGTAAATAAGTGGAAAACTGCCAGCTCTGATGAGATTCAAACTAAGCCTTTTTTCTGCCACACTATGCTACTTCAAAACTGGGTGAGGCAACATAAGAAAGGGAAAAACACAAGGAAAGGAGAGGAGGGGTATCAGATTTTGCCTACGGCCAACTTTATCTCTCAGAGTAAAACAGGAAGATCATTCTCTCTGCTCAAGCACAGAGGGGCCACAGAGAAGAGATGGAGAACAGCCACCAGTATCTTCACCGGCACTGTGTATGGCATCAGCATCAGGATGGTGAGAGGCTCTTGGAAAAATGGATGAGTTTGAATACCAACTTTCCCTCACACAGTTATCTAGTTTTAAACAAAGTACTTAACCTTTTTTAAAAAAAACTTTATTTCCCTATCAAGGAGTGGTAATCTACAGATCAAATATAGATGGTCCTGAGTGACATACCCTAATTCAACTTAGAAATTTTCACCCATGCCATGGTGCAAAAGCAATGCACATTCATTAGAAACCATACTTCACACTTTGAATTTGGATATCTTCCTGGACTATGGATGTAAGCAGCCACAGCCCCATGATCACAAAGGAAAACAACAGATGTGCTCCAGTGGGCTGCGCAGCTGAATGAGGATGGTCCCAGGTTAGGACTATTTGATGAACTTTCAGCTTGTAGTATTTTCAGTTTATGCTGAATTGATAGGGACACGGCCCCATGAAAAACTAAAGCGTATCTGCACAATGTAAAGAACTTAGCACTGCACGTGACTGATAAAAAATACTGGTTTATCAGTAAAACCTACTGGGCCGGGGATTTAGCTCAGCAG